ATATATAACAAGTTCAAAGCAAGGGGTAGCTTTTGTAATTATCATAAAATATAAGTGAGGGTACGTTACTAGTAATAAAATGAACCTGTATTTCTGGAATAATCCCGTTGCCAAAAGTGGTGGCAACAATAGCCAACGCATTAAACATGCCAAATATCCGAGTTTCGTCGTTGCTGTGTAGAGAATAATCTTTTCTTGGCCCCTTGGATGAACTTCCTACATAATATATATATTGATTGACATTCACCAGCCCATATAATATATTATATTATATATTATTATCAAAATTTTAAATAACCATGAATTATTATTATTATTATTATTATTATTATTATTTATTATTATTATTATTATTATTATTATTATTTATTATTATTATTATTACCAATGTAGATGGAACCAGCAGTGGCACATGCACTGTAAACAAGAGCAAGCACCAAAGAGACCAAATTGATGTGCCTCAACGAGTGAAAAGATGGGATTTGAGCTAAAATCAGCATAAGCCCTCCAAATATAATTACAAATTGGTACAACTTCATACTTCCATCTGCTCTCGACAACAAATAAATTGCCTGCAAGTCCACTTCATAATTCTAGTTATTTGGATTTTCCAATTAAATATATATATGATTTTCGAATAATTAAGTCTAAGTCCACTGGCCAATATAAAATTTTAATTTCAAAATTCGATTGGACTAACAAGAAATTCCAAATTATTATATTCATTAAAATTTACATGATAAATAAAACTAGTACTCATATTAAACAAATATAATACTAAATTATAGATTAAACAATAAACATATCACATTTTTAAAAAAATTTAATTGCAAAATATAGTCCGTATTTTATACGCGGTGTCAATATTAGTCACCATCTTTACGAATTGACAATATTAGCCAACTTCTTTCAAAATTTTGAGGTTATTACACATGTCCGACCAAATTCGATGGCTATTGTTGCCACTACGTAAAAAAATACTGACTATTTACGTTATCAGTTGAATTTGGTTTCCTTTGGATAATCATCTCAAAATTTTGAAAGTTTGGCTAATATTGTCAATTCATAAAGATGGTGGCTATTATTGTCACCGCGTACAAGATACCGATAATATTTTACTATTTAGTCTTTTAAAAATTAATCATTAACTAAAAGAGTATAAATATAAATTATTTGAGTACATATGAATCACTATGGAATTGGATGGAAAAAATATTGAGGATAATGTAATTTTTAATGTTGAGAGATTTTTAGGCCGATTTTCCCTTATTAGTATATTGAAGGAAAGTGGGCTTTGCTTTCTGTACTAACTAGGCAAAATCATAGAAGATGAGTCTTTTTTTAATGTTTAGAGATTATAGCCAATTAATTTAGTTAATTATTATTATTATTATTATTATTATTATTATTATTATTATTATTATTATTATTATTATTATTATTATTATTATTATTATTATTATAGCAATAATAATTTATAAGATTATAAGTTGATTTGAATATGTTATTCGACAAATGCTACAGTCCCGTTGCGGAATCATCCCTTCAGTAGTTTTAACTGTTGGATACACATGTAGTTAGTATAAGATAAATGATCTAACGGTTAAAACACCCGACGGAATGGTTCCGTAACGGAATCATAACATTTCCCATGCTATTAAACTATTAGCTATTGTTTTTTTATAAAAGAAGATCGTTTTTGGAGATACAAAATAATAGTTAAAAAAAAAAAGATAATATTGATTTTAGAATAAAGAGTTTAAACAAAAAAATTTGCAGTGTAACTTTTTTATATTTATGTAATTTCTATAAAACATTTAGTGTAAATTATTATTTTTTAGTATTAATATTTATTTTTATATAATATAATAATAAAAATTATATAACTAAATAATTGTTCTACCATAATTAGCTAAATATAGACTGGAAACAAAATTACTAAACGAAGCTGAATTAAATTAAAGAGAAAAATTCGATTAAGAATCAAAATTTTGTAACATCTTTTTTTAACAAGAAATTAATAAGAAAAATGCTACAAGTACATAATTAATGTATATTTATTAATTGCTGTGCCAGGATTTTATAAATAGATTCGAAAATTGTAATAGGAGTGGGTCACCTTCATGCACTGTCCTCCCAAAAGAGTAGAGCCCACAACGGCACCATAGCAAACCAAGAATTGTATTGGGCCCACATAATACCGCCCCCATCTTGGACCTGCCAAACAAACAGTGATAATATTTATATATATATATATTAATTATTATAATTATTATATTAATTATTATAATTATTTATTTATTACTAAATACGATTTTGCTGTGAGTCAAAGGATTTTGCTGTTAGTCACGTGGAGGAAAAAGTATTTCTAACGTACGAATTAATATAAAACCAATAAAAAAGAAATATAATAAAAAATCCAGAAATTCTATGGTGTTATATGTGGCACATGTTATGGTGCCACAACATAATGTGACACATTATAATTAGTGCCACAACATGATGTGTGATAATTGTGGCACCATAATATGACGCCACATGTGGCACCATAGAATTTTTGAGAAAAAAACTTTCTCGAAATAAATCTCAGCATACATACCCAGTCAATTTATTAAGTAGAAAAAGTTCGATTAAGGTTTGGTTTTGAATTTTCTCTAGTTTAAATGTATGGTCAAATTTGGCAGTAAATTGACCACAATTATTGCAACCAACTCAACTTGGCGGGCGTCTTTAGCTGAGTCGCGTGTTTCTTTCTCCGCCAAATATTTTGCTATTATTGTTGCACTTCTTTTTCTAATTTTTGTAGGTTCCATTTTGTCAAACCTACATTTCAAAATCAAAGGAACACACTATAGATCAACATTGTCAATTCCCTTACCTCTCCGCTAACTTAAACTTCACTATAATAATAAATTAGATGACCCCACCACCTTGTATAATCATGAAAATATCTATACACATATATATGCCACTACGTATCCCAATGTCAATTTCGCTCCTCCAACTAGAGGTGAACATGAGTCGGGACGGTTTGGTTCGGTTCAATCATCGGTATAAATATTTATGAAAATTCAGTGTAGTACCAATTGTTTTTTCAGTTCGGTTAAAAGAAAATCAAACGATCAACGATTATTTTTCAATTCGGAGTAATTTCGATTCGAAATTCTCCGAGACCCGTGCTCAGGCCTACTTCAAACCTAACATTGTAGCTCAACATAATTTATGTATTCCTTAACAAATATTGCTCCCAATCTAAACATCATGATAATAATAGTTCAAATTGTTTTAATGGTTTTTAAATTGTTGTATATCATGGCTCTGTGGTATTAAATTCACAAGTTTAATTAAGCATTTCAAAACATATAGTTTAACCATAAATGAATAATTAAAATGAAAGACATTTAAACAACAACTACATAAATATATATATTTGTATTATGTATGTAGATAGAAATTGGAATTTAAAATTGGGGATTAATTATGAATTGGTAGAGAAGAGAAATAAGGTACCTACCTAAGATATGGTTAGCCATGTCGCGGAACCTAAGATGGCGACGTCCCAAATGAGCATTGTGCTCTAACACAAGTGATAATAAGTTGTAGGAATAGAATGTGACCATTGCACCTATAACCAAGCTTGCAATCCCGGCCGTCCATCCCAGCGACGCTAATGCAAACGGAAGGCTCAACAGTGCCGGAGCCACAATCGAAGTCGTCAAGTGGTACCCGCAGTGTATCCATGATCCTGATTAAGTAATATGAATCAATATATATAGTACATGAAATGAAAATTATATATATGGTTGCATATTTGTTTATTTTTCGTTTGTTGGCAAACTAAACCAAGTCAAGATTAAATGTAACAGAAAAGTCATTAGATAAGATCATTCCATGATATGAATAATGTTTTTCATCATAATTTGACTAAAGTACTGACCTCTAGATTTAAGAACAAACTGTGCGCCGGCGTCTAGCTCTTTCTCTCCGGCAGCCAAATGGGGCGGCGCTCCGCTAGGAAAGTTGGCGGAACTTGGTCGGACACTTCCCATAATATTGATTGAAGCCCTTTTGCTTGTTGGGAGGGCTGATACAATAATATTTGCACAAATATTTTAAATGGGGTCTTCCACTAAATATATACATAGTCATTGAGTGAGAGAGAGAGAGTGGGACCATAGTCATGACTAGACATGGCCAAAAATCGGGCTGGGTCATGACCCGGCCCGGGCCACCGGGTTAGATTTTGACGACCCTGGACCGGCACGGACATAGGGTCATGCCGGGTTTATGACACCCAACCACCCGCGGAAATATTTTTAAATGGTTTTATTATTATTATTTTTTTTAAAGATTATTTATCATATATATATATATATAGGGTTGGGTTCACATGAGAATGATTCTCAATGAAAGAAATGAGAATAAATCGTAACCATTAGATCGAGTGAGCTAACGGTAACAATAAATCAAACATTTATTTAGTCATTAAGGGTATATTAGACATTTTAATTATTAAATTAAGTAACCATGTCAACTAACCCTCACCAGACCAATGATTGAATGACACGTGGCAACTTTATATCACACATCTCACCCACCTTTCATCCTCTCTCACACACTGACACACACACATTATTAATTCGAAAATGAAAAAAAAAATATTATTAGTCAACACACACAGCACAAACAAAAACACACACACACACACATACGCAACACACACAGCACACACACACATCCGGCGGGACAGACACACCCACACACCGCCGCCGCCGGCCACACGCACGCAGCACGACTGCCATCACAGCCGTCGTTAACACGCCTCCGTCGCGCCTTACCGCCGTCATACATCACTTGAAAACATCATCCGATTCCTTCACCGTTGCCGCGCCTCGTCACAACTGTCTCCGGCGACCTTCCATTGGCGGCCAACATTTGCTTCGTCTCAGCAGACAGCCCTCCGTCACCGACTCGTACTCATCGCCGGCGATATCCGCCGTTCGTTTGGAGGAGAGATGGTGGCTGTAGGGTGGAAAGTTTTGAACGATGTCCTCGTCGGATTGTCCGCCTCCGCCGACGGGAGAGATGGTGGTGATACAGGAGGAGGCTGAAGATGTGATTTTATGAATGCTATTGAGGGGTTGGAGATGTAGTTTTAGGGATTTTAGAATTGGGGGTTTTATTTTTTAAAACTAGTACGAATCCCGTGCGATGCACGGGTAAGAGATATTTTTTAATATTTATAAATTTAAAATTTTCATTAAATAGTATTAATAAAAAAAATAAAAAAAAAATAATATTTAATTTAATTTACCTATATTAATTTATTGAAATTTTTATTAAATTTAAATTGTGCAAAATTAAACAAAACATGTTCTTAGAGTATTACGTCGTTTGATCCGAATCAAGGCGTTGACCTTCAGATTTACGATAATTTAAGTCAAATCAATTCAATAAGAAGACCAAGCAGAAGATTTTGCTCCATGACTAAAAAATATTCGTGAGAAGAATCATAAGAGAAAATAGAAATTCTAATTCACAATATTCATTTAATTCTACAAATTTATTTGTAAAATATTTTTCGTGTTTATAAATTCAATACACGAAATTTGTTGCTACATATGTCTATTTAAAGTGAGTGCACAACTCGTACGGTGCCTGAAGCTGATAATAAATAAAATTATATTCATTTCAAAATAATTGTCATTTTAAAATTTTTATTCAAAAATTCGATTTTACTACAATGTGATTCCATAAAATAAATATTTAGGTAAAATTTTATCACATATTTAGAAATCTATGTGAATGATAAGTATACTTATAAATCTTATATTGTTTTCATCAATTAAAATGTATTTATTTTTGTATAAACTATCCAAATCCAAAAATTTAATTAGTTGAGTGATTGATTAAACTATAAATAATTGACTATTCTATTTACGTCCAAATTAATTGACCCGTAAAGTATGGATAATTATTTATCTGACTTTGAAATTTACAATACACAATAAATTCTTTTATATAATTCACATTTACACAAACAAACACACACACACACACACATATTATCTCGCAATTTTTTAGATTTATCGATTTCTTATCATTCAAATTTATCAACTATTTATTTATACTTAAAATATTTAAATTTTATTAGCCAATATTTGTTCAAAGATCTTTCTGATTTTCAAGAGAAATGCATACCAATTTCATGAATTACCATCAATATCTTATCCCCCTATATATTAATACAGAATGCGCTGAGCCTACGTGGCTGCTTCTGGTGCTTCAGAATCCTATGTGGCAAAATTACATGCTTCGTTATTAGGCATGGGTAAATTTTAATTTAAATCCAAACAAAAAATAATTAGGTTCGGATTACCATAAATATGTTGATTATTTATGGTCATGTTATATGTATTAATTGTATTTTAATATCATTCCTTATTATAACTATTGAATTGTATATATATTTTAAAAGTTAATAACTTTTGTATTTTTTATTAGTTTTACATATGTAATATATCAAATTAATCTTCTTTTGATAAGTTTCGATTTAACATCCATATTGTATGTATAAAAAAATAATTTATATTTATCTTTATAACAATAATAAAATTGTTTTTAATATGAATTAGAAAAATAAAATTATTTATCAACTAATATATTTATATTTCAAGTAGTTATATGATATAAGTTATAAAAACTAATATAATATAACACATGTAAGTCATAAGTAACACATATCATTATAAAATATATAGTAATATATTTTTTTTTATGTAAAAAAGTAAACTAAATTTAATATAATTTTCTCATTAATTTTAAAATTTAAGAATAATTTTTTAACAAGCACCCGTGTAATACACGGGTATTGTACTAGTGAAAATTTATTCTCGAAAAAAGCTAAATTTTGACAATCATATCACCTTGTTTTTATAACAAATCAACCTAAAATGGACTTTCATACTCATACCAAATAAAATTAATAACACTTGTTTTGTTTTCCGA